ACGTCAGTAATCATACGAATCCTTATTGCAAAGACATGAAAAGGTGCAACTCAGTGATAATCACGGTACCAAATGTAACACGTTTTAGGTCTCTGGAGTTTTGTTGTCCTCGAGGAGACATGAGTGATATCGGGACGATCTTTCGCTCTTCTTCCTTCGAATGATTTGATGGATTGGGCATGAAACAAAATTCCCATGGGGTTAGAAACGCTCGATATAAAAAGAACAGAATGAAGGAAACATGACTGACTGGAGACAGACGAAGCTGATAAGATCGAGTGGTGTATGAGCGTGAGATGATGGATGTCTCTGAAATTGATGAGCGCGGTAAGGTGTATGAATGATAAGGTCTACAGCTGCAGCTGCAGCTCCGCGTCGAGAACGGATCCGCCGTTGCTGTCTTCAAGAAGCAAAGTAAAGATGAGCAGCAGCAGGTATCAAATCAAGGAGATCCAACATGAGATTGTAGTCCGGTGAGGTTTGGACACTTTATAAAATATATTTATAAGGCGATAATCAGGTGTGGAACTTGCGCGAGCGAGATAGAGAGAAAAAAAATGTGAGCTTGTGAGGAAAAGTAAAAATCTTGTAGCTCGATTTGTCGCTTCATCTTTGCTTAGGCTGGAAGTCTCGACAGCTGACCACAAAAGTATCTCCAAAGTGTCGCGGATCTAGCCAGCGGGTTCCTTTGGGCCCAAGTTGAAGATTCTTCCTTGGTGCTCAGGCCTGGGCTCTCGACCTGCAACACCTGTGGCCAAGGTATCTTCCTTCATGGAACTCACTCAAATTGGTCCATAGTTGTCAGAGGTGTTGGACGATAACATGTACAATATGCAGGAACATGTGCTGGAACAAACTGCAACAGGGCTTCCTCTGGTCCTGCTACTGGGACTGCTGGGATGGAAGCATATGCCCTAACCACATGCATACGAGTCGATTCTCGGATTGGCTCAAGCCAGCCAGACACTTTTCAACACGTGATTTTGCCGTTCCTCTTTATTCTCGACTTTTCATTTGCACTGGTCAAGTGCCTATGCAAATGTTGTCACGATTCTTTAATTACCATCGCCTCTACCACTAAATTGTGGATTTTCCTATCTTAGACAAAAGAGTGGCAGTACGTGGTAGATGGTGCTGCAAGTCTAAAAGGCTTTAAAAGCTAGAAGGTTTCGTCAACCGCAGGTGTCCGGTACGGCTATTTTCTTCCCCTCTGATAGGGGCTTGTTCATGTGAATATGAACACCAGCTTTGAAAACCAAAGCTGATGCCTTTCCTCATTGCTTGGTGATCATTTGTCAAGATGAGGACTGGACATGGTTCCTCCGACAACTCGTTATATATATATATATATATATATATATATATATGCATGCGGTTGGAGTAACCCATGCTGGTGACCGTTCATGGAACAAAAGGCCTTTGTCCTAACTATTGTTATGCCAGTGGTGGACCACCGACATGTTTTACTGCAGTTCTCTTTTGCAGTCTCCGGAGTCCGACTTTTATTTTCAAGGGGCTAAAGTAAACGTCGGATCACATAGCCGGGGTCCGTGCAGACACAGAGTGGGTTGTTGGAACATCTGCATGCGGATAATTGCTTCACGTCAGGTTTTCAAATTATACTCACATAAAAATGAAAACAAAGTTATGTAAATTCAACGGAAAGAACCGAAGCAAAATCAGAACTCAAGTTCACAAGAAGGAAGCCTTAACAACCATTGGCGCAACAAAGCACCGCGATACTGTATTTGGCTTTTATCAAGCCATCTCGTTTAGCATTCTCCATCGCTTATTACAAATATAGATTTCGAATTCGCAACGGGAGAATTTGAAGAAGATTCCGAGGAAGATTTTATTGCATAAAAATATAAAGGAAGGCATGCGATTGTCATATCATTAAGAGTGTAAGGTAAATGACGAATAAAAGATGTTGGGGGTTTCGTTTTCTTTTTTTTGCACCCGAGAAGCCTAATGGATAGTGATGCACTTTTCATTAATTTTATATGGGGACTTTTGCCACCTCGTGGGCTCCTGATGTGTCTGTGCTGTAGATGAATGCTCAATCTTCATAAATAGCACTCCAGTCTTACTCATCAACTTCTCATTATGAGGACTATGATAACACCAATAATATGCGAATGTTATTTTATATATACGTGCGAAATTCAGAGTTGTTTGACGGGAGAATAAATCTAAGCTATGGGGGCGGGCGATGTTCAGAGTTGTGGAACACTTATCCTCACTAATAGCAAAACCACATACATGCAATGGCTATACTTAAACATGTGGAAACTTTTATCGGTCAAGGACATCGATTTTGAGAAGATGTACATATGTACTATGCTTCAGATACACCAAACCTACAGTCAGCAGAGAAGAAGGAGAGCGTATTGGTGACTGTGATGCTGACACAGATGATCGAAGATTTGAGGTTCTAGATGGTAGACATGAGGAGACTTAGACTCTACTGCAGCAGACGTACGATACAAGCGGAACAAAAGATTCCAACTGTGCACTATCGACTATCCGTCCAATTATCACTGTACGCAATCGAATCTTCGTCCTCCTTCGACTCCGAGTTTCGCTAGCACAGGAGTTGCTTCAAGGCCATGACTCCCTTGAGAGGAAAGCGAGTTTAACGAAGTAGACTGCATTGTTTTTATTATAATCTGCGATGAGAGACATGCGAAACATTCACGCTTACCGGCTGCAGTGGTAACCTGCATATGCTGTCGATGGAGGGGAAAAGTGAACTTCGGGGGCAAGTTTCCTGGTAGAATATGGTAGTCACAACATAACCATAGTGATATTGGTGGGTACCACGAAGCTCTCCCGTTAGAATAATCCGGTGAATAGACTTGCCTGCAGCTCTGCGGTTCGAGTGATTGAGTTGCTGCCTCATCAAGTGAAATGCAAGTCAAATGCTTCTCGTCTGTCTGAAAATGCTGCAGGATACCAATGGATTAGGTGTTTATAAAATCAGCTTCTGATATCATGCAGAGTTTTAACGAAGCAGTGGATATTATTCTACATATCTCCGTCAGCTGCGCGGTTTTATAGATTTTTTACTCCGTAAATCGACACCGACTTTGTTCCGCTTCAAATGTGTGATCCATAATTAACTGCTAAGAATTTGTTGTTTTTTCCTCTTCCTTCTCCTGGTGCTCGTCTTAAGATTGCAGATGACCCGGCCTGTTTAGTGTAGGGGATCGTATGCGGAGACGCCTAAACTACCTACACTAGACTAAGGGGGTGCGCCTACTTATCCTACCGTTCATTTACGAAGACATCTTTACTCTACAATTACAAGGTGACTGCATCTGTTGGAGACAGTGAATATGCTAGACACAAAATCATACACTTTAAGTTTCTATCAAAACTTTTAGATATACTTGGGTCATATTAGACCAGGAATATCAGATGCCACCAAAACTTTTATCTAAACTGACTTCTGCAGTGTTAGAGTGAATGTGATGAGTTGCCTGGTTGTTTATCGAGAGTAGTGGGAAGTGCTCTGTAGCTTCTATGAGTGCAAATGACTTCCCTTTGAGTATGAAACATGCGGATGGAGTTATTATGAAAAGATTGCAGGTCCGTCCTTGATTCCAGGGAACCAAAACTGTTCCTCGAGGATTATTGCGAAGATTCAAGGACATGTCCTAGGTGCACCCCGAGCCGGCGGATTTAGACAAATAGGGGTGCTGGATTTTATGGAGATAAACTGAACGGTTCAGTGATACATAAGGTTTCTTCGGATGGCAAATTAGAGTTCCTTCGTAGAGGTGGATTGCTGATAATTACAAAAATCATATTGGGCTACTGTCAGTTCTGGATAACAGCATTGTGATATTGAACAGAAGGGAAATCCAAAGAAGGATTTCAAAACAGGGTGATTGGAAACCTGAATAAATGCCAGGTAGTAAATTAAATAAAGGTGTGTTGCCCATGAAATGCACATGGCTCCGTTTTATGCACTCTAAGTGCTTAAGAAAACTCACATTTGCCCACCTAACCTAACCCTAAATGAAAGTCTTCTCGTGAGACTAAATTAAACTAATTTTGTCGCCCGACTAGACTAACCAGGCCGGCAGATGAACTTTGCTCACCACGTACTGTGGCAAACATGTACGCACATATGTATGCAGGACGCCGGATGGCATTTTCGCCAATCCCAAGGAGCAAACAAGTCCAAACAACGACTGCTAGATTTTGTATGGTAGTCGCCTTCACGCAAGGTCTCCCATGCATGCTGCCACCTGGAGGCCCGAACGAGGGAAATATTCTCCCTGGACACAAAAGGTAAGCACTTCAGCATGTTTTGTTGCTGTGGCGCATTTTAAATTTCATTCATTTGACCATCAGAGAAATGTACAAGAGTAGAGGCAGGCGGTGCAGCCCCAAGCCTACGAAGGCTAAAGGATGGAACTGGGATGGAACTGAAAGCAGAGAACAGAGAGAAGAAAGAGGTTTGGCTGCTTTCAGTTGGTGCTGTCACAGAATGGTGCCCTTTACTCTCCCAAACTCGCGTGGCTTTAGTTCCCAGAGCAGCACTTGTGTCATCCGGATAACCATGGCGGGTTTCAGGCTGCAGGTGGTCAGAAGTCAGGACGACTGCAATTCCCAAACGGATGTGAAGGTTCGTAACTGCGACTAACGAGAGCATCTATTCATAGTCGTTGAGGATTATTTGATTCCCTCTATCATTTCCTTCATCAATCAGAGCATGGAAGCCAAACAGTCAAGTTTGGGCACAGCCTACGATCCCAAGAGTCCGGCTCAGAAACAATACAAAACTCTTTAAGAGCGAGTGCCCAGTGCACTGACACTCCGTGAGCGAAATCAATGAATAATTAATCCCACGGGTTTACTCCGTGGAAATTCCAGGGCGCTGTGAGTTTCTCAGTGCCGAGCACAGAGTTACACACAAGGCAGCATGATCCAGGAGAAGACTACCTCGCATGATCTGGAGTGCCCCAGGGCCGACGATCTGACTTTGGCCTGACTAAAAGCCAGGCCCCATACCGCTTGAAATACAAGATGCTGCAGGAGGAAGGAAGTCGTGGACGGAGGAAGCTATCTGCGCTAATTCTACGAATTCTGACACAAAGTCCCCGCGTCACGTTTACATGATCTGACAAGTCAAAAGACCTCCACTCCGATGATTATTTGACTTTGGGTACCGCGGAAACCTTTGCTGCGTTTACGAAGTTCACGAGTCAAGTCGCGCCAGAGTCGAAGCGAAGAACTGCCGTCGGCCCGTCCATCAACTCCCGTCGACCTCGATACCGAGCCAGCGATAGCGGACGCCCGATCGAGCCCGGAAGTTGACCGTGTCCAGGCCCGTTCAGTCACAAGTCGTGAGCCGTGACTCTTCCCGTCGTTTGCTAGAAAGACGCACCGCTATTCTCGGTTACCTCCAACCCGGTCCTACGAGTCTACGACTCGGCAGCCTTGCCTATCCTCCGGTTTCCTTCTCGCTTCTCGCTGGACCACTCTCCGGCTAACGGTGGGGCCGAAGTTAGTGCCCTGCCAAATGGCTATCGAGACGGAGTGATGGGGTGATGGGCCCATCCGTCCATCCAGCGTTCGACTTCTGCCTCAGCAACGTCTTCCTGTGCTTCGATTGGAGTACAATCTCTCCCCTCGCTTCTCGGTCTCCTTACTCGTGGGGCTCCTCCATTAGCCTTTTACCGTTGAGAGTGTACATTCCTCGTCGTGGCGGACATTAAGTATGCTAAAAAAGTGAGGTGGTGGTAACGTTCAATTGGTGGCCTCCACATGATAAGACGGTTGACGCTGATGCTGAGATGGATTGGAGAAAAGCACTCGTGCTTCAAACAAGGGCCTCCGGAGTACGAGGCTGGCTGACCGGCTGACCTGGTTGGCGACGGGGGGAGGATAGCTGGAGAGCATGACCTAGGCAACGTTGCGAGTGTATCCACGCTCCGGGCGCCAAAGTCTGACTTATCTGATCGCTTCAAATCTTCGCTGACTCCTGGACAGCAAACGGCCTTTCTCGGGTAAGTTCGATTCATGTCTTCATTTAGAACCGAACGCTTCCGAGCTCTGGTTCAGCTGCGGTAGCCTCGTTCATCAGCGGGCTCTAATGATTGGAGGAAAGTAGCGAGCCAGATTCGGGCAACATCAGCTGGGAGCTTGCGAAGTGTCGAGCGCCCTTTGGTTGCCAGTCGGACGTTCCTACCATCCGAACGTGTGCTCGCTCTCCATCGGAGATACATTCATCGGACACAGTTCTTTCTTTCTACTTTTGGAAGCTTTCTGGATGAAGGAATATCGTCTTCGGCCATTTCAACTGGTGTGGTTACCGATGCATGCGGTCGACTTTCTGTCCACAAGCGGAGGGAGCTCTTCCTGCCGCGACACTTCACGTACTCCTCACTGTACAGTACACGATCGGGACGGTATCATGGTAGACTCCTGTGGACAAGAGCGCCACAGTACACAGTCGTTGTCTTACGGAGTACTTCTGTAACGTGGTTCTCTTGAGAAGGTTTCTTTGGGCATCGAATTGGAGTCCCTTCGAGAGCTGTTCCTTATAGTTTCCATGTATATTTCACAATTGACGTTGGTCACCATGGGCGTATGAAACTCATCTCGCTTCCAAACTGTACGAGAGTGGAAGCATCGCCTCTGTGCTGCACGGTCAACTGGACTTTGATAGATCACACAAGCAGCTCAGGTCGAAGAGGGTGCATCACACGTACGCAATTCTCAAGCTTCTAAGCGGTCGTGGGGATGAGCTTCTTTCCGATGCTGGCAAAATGTATTCACTGGGCTGTATGATTATCACGTGGGGTTCGGAAGTCTGTTGCTACTATAGACGGTATTGCTTCGATATTTCTGGCACAGTTTCTCAAGGGGGTCCGTCTCGACTAAAATATCAACGGATACTGCTCGCTTTGAATTCTCTTGCAATGAGGGAACACTTGAACGACCAAGAGTATATTTCAACTGTTATGCCTCATTGCGATCAGCTCAGATCAGAGGTCGGCTTCGTCCGTCGTGAATCCAGAGAGGAGACACATTTGGCGGATCACCAACATACCTGGGGTCAAGTGGAAGGTTGAAATATGCACCGTCCCGTTCCAAACGGAAAACATTTTAGAAATTAGAATTGCTGCCATGTCGGAAGTTCAAGTGTGACGATTGGAGAGGAAGCTGGGCAAAAGTAATTTATGAGAATGAAATGTCCCATCCTGCTGTCAAAAGCTTGACTTACTCGTTTACTTTCGTTTACTCGGGAAAGACAATTTAGCAGAAAAGAATCCACGCTGTAGATCGCAGTTACTCGGAGGTGGTTCGTTGTCGATTCTTCGAAGTTCGAATGACCAATGAAAAAAAGAAAATCAGCGCTTGTTTCTAGAAGGAAAGGAAAAGTTAAAGGGGTTGAATTTGCGATTATGTGACGATGTTTAGCGCGAGAATGGTGGAGGCATTGATTGGACTCTTTGTAGGTGGCAAGTCTTATCTAACCGAGCTTCTAGAATTTCTCCAATACCAAGTAAAGGCAAAAGGAAGAGTGGCCAAACGCGAAAGAAAGAAACTTCCACCCTGGCACGGGCGGAACGCTGCAAAGTGACCGGCGGTACCACCGGCCTTCGAGATCTCGGCTATAATGACCGACTTTTCACGCCCGCTAGAGGCTGGCCCCCCGAGCCCCTGAAGCCAGCGTTCGGGAAAGGCCGATGTCGGCCGTTTTGTCCATCCCTCCAAATAGCCGAGTCTGGAAGGCAGACAGAATCCCGCCATCATCGCGCTCTTCCGGACCTTCTCGTGACCTCTCCGACGTTAGCGTCGTGTCAGTCCTCGCGCTCCCTCCCCCCGGACCCGGCCGCATGCACACCACAATCCCTGGCCGCTTGCCGACAACGCGACTCGCTCTAACCGGGACGGAAGCAAGAGGTCCCCGGCTCGTCCCGCACTTCCGTACTCTCGGACGCAGGGCTTTCGGGCGCCGAATACCGGCTCACGATCGCATCTGACCGATTGACCGCGCCGGCGTGGGCTTGCACGGTGAGTACGTTGCTCGCGGCTGTGCAGTACGGGGCTCCGGCAGCCGGATCCCGAGACGCTCCGTAACCAGGGTTAGAGACCGAGCTAGCAGTTTGGGAGCTGAGCACGTAGGGATGTGGCGGCAGGATTTGGGGGCTAGCCTGTAGAGTCGTTGGGGCTCGTAGGGCGAAGCGGAGTGGTGTGCAGAGTGGGGCTTTAGTGGAGCATGTGTCCGTGGCCCCGGTCTTGAGGCTACGGAGCTGCAGCCTAGGCCCTGGCCATATCCGCTAACTTGCCCGACGCGCTTAGGCGAGGAGCCGGTCGTGGCTGGTGGGGCCGGCTCGCGCTCGTAGGGAGGAGAGAGATCGTTTGTATGGCGGAGTCCGCCTTGACTTGGACGAGATTCACTGGCGGGCTGCCCTGGAGCCAGGACGCGACTCTTACTGCTACAAAGAGCGCGCGTCCAGTCTGTCTGGGAGAGCGGTAGAAGTAGACGACGACGAACCAGTCGAGAGTGAGCGCAACAGGAGGAAGGAAGGAAGCAAGACAGGCAGGATCTCGATTAGAACAAAACCATTTAGACTCGGGCCGTGGAGAGAAGTGGGTTGTGGAGAGGCCCCGTCCGCTCGCCCGCCAGCCCGCCCGCCCGCTTGCTTGCTTATGGGTTGATTGGAGACATATAGCAAGGCAATTTGACTGTTAGATTCGTTGATTTCGAGCTTGGAGTGAGAGAGGGGGAGGGTTGTTGGTTGTGCGAGAGTCTATCGACTGATTGATTCGCTTCCCCGTGTACCCTGCGGGTTTGGTCGTCGCGGAGATTGGAGTGGAATAGAATACAGTCGAGTGGGTTGGAGTTGATTGGAGTGGAGTGTGTGTGTGTGCGTGTGTGGCGAGGACTGGATTGGATTGGAGTAGTGCTGGATTGGGAGTAGAGTTGAAGTGCAGTTGGAGTCGGTTCAGAAGTTGTCTGGGCTGGGCTGTATTATTATCGAGTCTTTGATTCCGTGGAAGGTTTTGGGATAAGAAGCGAAGTCGAAGATCGGAGCTGGAGAGAGTCTCAGGAGGGCTGAAATTCGGTGCCCCGCGGAAGAGAGAGGGCGAGGGGTGATGATAGGCCAGCAGAGGAGGTTAAGAAAGTGGCTCGGATATGGGGGAGCCTGACCGGAGGCGAAGGAGGTAAGGATGAAGAGGATTTCGATCTGGAAGAGTGACATCGGTAGTCGATTGGAGCAACGAGCAAGAAGAGATTTTGTAACTACCGTCGAGCAGGAGACGATTTCTTAGGAGGCCGACAGGAATTTTCCCCACTCTCTCTCCGGTGATCGTGGATTTTCGATTGCACCGCACAGCACCAGGAAGAAGAGATCCTTGAAATCGGAGCAGGCAGGCAGAGCGAGCGAGGGTCGGAGAACAGAGGTCACCAGGCGGAGGAGGGGAGAGACGGCGGCTACGTGGTTTCAGTGCCTTGGAGGGGGCCAGACGGAGGCGCACAAGGAGATGTCATTGTGGCCTAGACTACGAAGGCGGTCCAGAGGGCGCAAGAGGTCTAGCTCCAAACCGAATCCTTACTCGAACATCGGGCTCGACAAGCTCGCTGTAGTGCATGCCGAGTTTGATGCGCAGCGAGCTCTGTTTGCTGCCGAGAAAGGAGTCCCAGTATCCGTTGTGCGTTTCATTTCCGGATCTCAGCGCGGGTGGACGCTCTTGCCCACATCCGCCGTCGGTCCCGCCCCCGCCGACGCTGACCATTACTCGTCGACCTCGTCCTCGGGTCTGTCGTCCCCGGACTGGGTCTCTGCCCCATTTCCGGCCCGTTCCAGACCCCGTGCTCTGAAACTGCCATCGCCCGATACATCCGCAAGCGAAGGAGCGCCCGGCGGCTCGGGCACATTCCAATTCTCGCCCCCCGAGTCTCCGAGCCCCGCCGAGATTGAAGCTTTTGCCTCGAGCCCAAGCCCGAGCCCGAGCTCGTCTCCAGCCTCTGCGAATGCTGGAAGGGCCGACTCCTCTGAACTCAGGAACTCGAACGTCGAGGGGAGCCTGATCCCCGCAGAAGAGTATCTGTCACGGAATCCCCAGGCGGCCCACACCGCGTCGGTGTTGTTCGTCAGTCTAGGAGTGTTCTCGTCGGCCGTCGGCTTCGGAACCGCATTCGCGTTGATCTTGAGCAGCTGGCGAAGAGGAAGCTCGACCCTCAAGCGCATATTCTCGATCCTGGCTACGCACTTGGTCTCGGCCATTCGACCGTCTCTGCTGGTGAAGGGATCGAGGAACTCGCTGTCTGGGAAGTCCGCCTCACTTGCGGAGGAGGAGGAGGAGGCGGCAGCGGAGGCTGAGATGAAGGTTACGCCCGCCGCTCCAATTGCTCCCATTTTCTCGAAGGAGACGGGCGATGCGGAAGTAGCGCGCATTTCGAGCTTCGCGTTCCCGGTGCTGCCCCAAAATAATTCGGTGGGGACACCAATTTTCAGGGGTCCACCGGAGAGCCACGCATTGGTGGCAGCTCCCGAGCTGAATCCCATCGTCACCTCCATCAAGGTGGTGGCCGTGTCGTCGCAGCCGGGATCGCCCGCGTTCGACGCCAGCAAGGGAGCTCCGAAGCCATGCCAGAAGCTCAAGGCCAGAATTTTCAAATGCCATCCGCCGAGGAAAGTCACTCCGGCCACGAGCGAGAATTCCAGCACGGAGGAGGACGGTCAGGAGACTGTACTGGAAGTGGACCCGGCTATGGGAGCCCACAACGGTTTGACCGATTCGCCCCGCGATTCGCCTCGATGCAAGAGGTTGTCGTTCATACGGAGGCGCGCCAAGAGCAAGAAGGGCCTGGAGTCGGACGAGCAGAGCGGGCTCTCGGCCGAGAGCGAATTCGAGGATGTATCGTCGCCTGTGACGAGAGTGGTGGCCGTGCGGGCCTCCAGGTCGCAGGAGATTCTGGCCTCGAGAAATCCCAACAGCGATGCTGCCGCCCCGAGCAGCCGCCTCAAGGTGTCTCGGTCGCAGGAGCTCAAGCAGTCCTTAAGGAATTTGAAGCACAAGATTAAATCCCACGAGCTGGCCGCCCCGTCGGCTGCCACCGCCCCAGAGATGCCGCTGGAGAGTGCCGCCGTCGATTTGCACAAGATGGCCTTCCCCTTCAAGCACGACGCGGATTCGTCCAATTGCTCCAGTCCCACTACGCTCGGCCCCAACAGCAGCAGCAAGGCCGAGAAGAGGCGAGGATCCTCGAAGTGCCTGCTCAGGAAGCTGTCGAACGAGTCTGACAAGTCCGGAGAGTTGGGCCCCGCATCGCCCAGGAGCACTACCATCTCGCAGACGTCCACTAAATTGTCCAAATGCATGACAGCACAGCCTTCCAGGATGACCACGGAGAGAACCTCTACCATCGACTGCAAACCGGAGCTGCGCAAGGTGAAGACCACTGTGGCCAGGATGCCTCTTCCAGCCGATCACGGGGAGCTAGCGCGGAGCCCCGTGCTGGACCGTGAGACTTTGGGTGCTCTCCTGGTCCTGGCAGTTTTGGGATTTCTGCTCCTCGGCAGGATCCCTGCCATTCTTGGTACAGCATGCTTGTGTCTAGTGCTGTCGCATGTACAGAAATTCCTGTCACATAATTTGACTCCTCGAGAGAAGGAGCGATTAGCATCCAAAAGCGGCGTGGGCGCGGGCGTGGGATTGTCGAGGCTCGGCGGCTCGAGCCCTCCGAATTCGCTCGGACAGGGCAACCCGGTAGTGGATGTACAGTCGAGCGAGTACCGGAAGAAGGTGCTACTCGAAGGCTTTCTCGACAGGGGAAATCGAAGGAACTGATCGACAACTGACTGGCATAAGCAACGATTTTTTGGGGGATAATTTCTTACCCCTTCCGAAGTCGGTCCGAAATGCGGACGACGAGGACGGCACGCAACTCTGCTTGGTCTGACTCTGCTTTAGTCTTGGATTGTCTAAAGTTGGCTTTAGAGCACCGCCTGCAGCAGCGGAAGAAGAAGGACGGACTGCAAGGGTTGGAGTGGTTTGCGGGAATACCTACGAGGCGCAGCATGAATGTACAAATGCACAAAAGTAGTGTAACGTCACACCCACAGCGAGCATTGCCCAGCATCCTCTCACTGCCAGTCCCCCCTCTCTCGAACTACGCGAACGGAGAAGGTGGCTGGATCGAGAACTATGGCGGCCACGTTATCCATCTTTCGCAAGTGAAGGATGAGGAGCCTGGTGTTGTGCAACTGCGTCAAATCCCGTTACAACATCTCGATAAACCTTTTTTTTTTATGAATCATCCGAGATGCTCTGCAATGCTGTTGCTGTTGTTTGCCCCGGCGATGACGAGGAGACTAACCTCACGACATAGAAGCCGATCATACCCGCCAGTGGGGTTGGATCGGCCTGGCTGCGGTGGATTGATATGATACAAGAGAGATATAGCGCTTCGATGTGGGGAAAAGGCCGAAGGAGGGCGGGAAGGAGTAGTCCTGTTTCTAGCTAGGTACCTGATAACTTGACCCAATTATTTGTTTGGGTGTTCATGAATCACAACATCAACATGATACTGAAGCTTGAAGCCTCCTTGAAGCCAAGCCTTCATGTTCAAAGCCCTGGAGTGTATAATTACTTGAGAATTTGCATTTGCACCCATTTTTGTGTACAGATCTGTCTGCCTCCCATTTGCTGTGACAATAACTATTCAATTGGTTACCTGGTGTTTACTGTGCGACGAGTTAAGTCCAACTTTTCGCTCGTTGGTAGTTGTTAATAAGCTATCCATAAGCTATCCATAAGCTCACCTTTGGCATAAGATAGCAATTTAGTCAACCAATCAACCGCACGTAGATGATCAGCAGGGTATTTTTAATTGAGCCTTAGAGTTGGTGTGTTTAGAGTTCACGACCGACCGAATTTTACTGCCCAGCCCAACTTTAGTTGGGCTCTTGTTATCCTAAGAAAACGAAGCTGTGAACCTTGAGTGAATGAGATTCTGGCGTTAAAGTTTCTCTCTTCACATTGGACTTGTATTTAATCCTTTGGCCTCCACTTCGTTATCTGAGAGGAGAGTATGCTGGGATCATTCGCTACTGAATCTGGGGCGTCAACTGTCATCGTAGATGTTATTATCGATCTCTCTTCTTTCATCTCCCGAAGTCTGTCTATATTTTAATTGAATGCAAGTGTGGTGTAGGGTCGAATGGATCGAAGTGCTCAGTCTCGGGTTGCTGAAATTGTGAAAGAGTCGCTTGGCGACCACCATCTCTTCTTTGTTTGTGGCTGTAATGATACCAGTCTCGTGACATTCGGTCTAATTCATAAGAACGTTTGCTCTCTTTCCTTCCAGCTACGAACTGCGTGCCTGCCCAGAAATATTATCTTCTGCCCTAATCAATCAGGATTTGCTTCCACCAAATTTTTTCTGTGATGACCTTTTACCAGCGTACTGGGTTATGCGATTAAAAACCTTTACGTGATCATCGGTACGATGACCACGTCAGGCTCTGCTATTTTCGCACTCTTTTATCTTCGTCTGAGCTTACCTGATTCGGTGATTAGATTATTAGATTTAGGAACTACTCAATTAAGACTGGCCAGCAAGAAATTCGGGTGTGTGAGAGAATGTGCAGTCCTAAACTATTGCGAGAACTGATTGAAGCGGTGACGCTGATGATTGAATTTTGTAGACTTCAGACAGGTTCAACAGCGTGTTATTACAAGAAAATGTGTCGAGCACACTCCTCCCAAATCCAGCTCCTGAGTTCTATACAGCAACAGATGTCTGCCTGTGGTCAGTGATGACGATGGGAAGCGAGTTCTGTGGAGGTTGGCAGTTAAGACTTCTTACTCAGGAGAAGGAAGTCTTAAGTTGATGGACTGTGATTCTATGCAAGGGGATGATGATATGTTGATAGTTGAAACCAACGACGCTTTTTCAGAAAGAAATTTAGTACGTGCAAACGCAGTGGAGGAATCTCATAATCTTGAGAGAGGGATGCACGAATTGTGGTACTTGATGGGACCCCATGTTGGGATCCCATGAAGCCTTTAAAGCATCTCGTCTTGTAAATAAGATTACAGATTCTGTCTTTATGTCTCACTGCCACAAATACAGCGTTTACGAAACCTATCAACTGACAAAATGCACGTATTCTTCCAATTTGCGGCAATCTTCCGAATCTTCCTTACCTCGGAACGCTGATGAATATTGTCAACAAGAAAATACATAATTCGATCATCATCGGACAAATACAAGGTACACGTCGTATTGAACGTGTATATTTAGTCCTCTGGTTGGAGAAGGAGGGCACATTTGTTTGTCGGTGGATGAAAGTCTTTAAAAAAAAGTTTTGAAGTGGTCAACGATCGCTACACAACTTTGCATTTGTACTCGTTCACGACCCGGATTCCTGCAGTGCAAATACAGAGGAGTCCACCTCCTGGAATGATGGCTTGTCATTCGCGCAGCAAGGATTACTGCCCGCTGCCATGTTGCTAGACATAAGGATGAAGGCACTAAAGAGCTGTAGCTTCGTCCGAATTACCCCGGACTCCTGTTCAGAAATAGGCAGCATTTGTTTATCTTCTCGCCTGCTCCAACCATGTGCCAGCTAGGCGATGAAGCTTCGAAGATACCTATATGAACACCCAGAAGTCTTCAGACGCTGCATAGTACTGGAAGAGGAAAATATGTCTGTCCGACTTACAGACACGCTCAAACATCACAGTCCTGTCTGAGAGAGGATTGGTGAGAAGTGTACAATTTAGTCAACTCAAGATAGGAGATAGGGAAGCTCATCAGACGTGTAGGTCAAAGTCCGTGTGATGCATTTATTCGCCCTCACCTACTTTCTCTTGGCCTTTCTGCTATATAATAGTTTCAGAACTGCAGATCACATCCCTGACCTGATCGCCCTTGAGGTAAACATCGGCTGCCCTTTTGCCTTCAGTGGCTCCTCAATACAAGCGCATCTGTGCACAACATTCTACATGATCATATGCCCTCAACTCCACTGCACCAAACTGTACTGAACTAGCTTTCAGGCTGTACTCAACTTTCCTCTTCTGCATTAGGTACAATTCTTCGACACCGACATATGAGCCTACCTTAAATGTCAGAACCCGGGGCATGGTGATATAGGCTAACGGCATTTTATAGAGCAAGCAAGATTCCCCACCAGTTGCTACAAAGATGTTGATACCCTGACTGAAAGGCTAAAGCCTAAGAGCTCTAACCTTTCATAGGCTCTCGACCTAGGGCTCTTTACTTCCTACGTAGTGTAAGGTCCAAGTTGTTGTTTTTTTTTCCCTCTCATTCAGTGTGATTCATGCTTCATGCGTATAGTATTTCCACTCATTTTAGAGCAAAGCTGTACTTGATTAGAGTTGATAGTGAAGGACATGTTGCCCGGATGGGTTTAGCTGCACAAACTTATACATAGCCCCTATATAGGGCCTTCATAGACCCAGGCAGGTGTCATCCTACAGTGACCCGTGACGGAAGTTCTTCTTTTCGCTGCGACTCTCCTCTTTTGGACCAAAGATGGAAGAATGTGCGGGCAGGCTAACCGGGCAGGTTTTTCATTGGCACTCAATTTTCCGGTGGAGCATCAAAGTGACTGAACTAGATCGCTCTACTTTCCAGCGGACGGATCTAGCAATGGACTATAAGAACATATGGACATCCATCCGCACTTTGCGGGGAGGATCGGCGGACCCTACATTCCGGCAACCATGTAGAGGCCCTCAACCGGATGAAATTCCAACAACCATGTAGAAGAGAGGCCGTCACTGTAGAGGCTGCAACGTTGTATCTATTGCGTTGCAATGATCTACGCCATAACAATGATCGCGGTCGTGTCCTGGAACGTTGCGGGTAAAACTGAACCGCAAGAGGTATAGCTCAGATGGAATCCCTAGTGTTCAAACTGTAATATTTGTAATCAAACGGTGATAACATATTTTATAGTACGGCCGTTTGTAAAAGTTTGTGCAACTAAGCGAGTCGCGTGAGGAATACACAGTAAATAGTTCTATCTTGAACCCTTTTCTACCTGTATCTGAACACTAAAGGTTCAGAACAATTTGATTTGGAACTCTTCGATGTGCACTAAAACTTACAGTGTGAGACCTCTGATAGGCACGTCCAATCTCGAAGTAGATTCACTTAAAGTTTTGTGTGACTATCAGAATGTTGTCTTTGTCACCTAGGCCAACGTCTAGTGCGCCTATAAGATCTCAGATGGCTTTGTGACTTGCATAATTGGTAACATAGTCACATATTAGAGCATATAATCGTTTAGCATATTTACAGCTGCAGTTTCGAGATAGTTTGAGTTTTTGCTGGATGTAGATAGCTCAGGACCTGACTGATTATAATTGTCCATCTTGCCTAGAAATGAGCATTTTGCAATGAGGAAATTCAAATAACAGAAGCAATTAGATGACATTTTGTGAGATGAATTATGAATCAATGTGACTGAAGGTCCAGACCAATGACGTCTTCAAGCTCACAATCCAGCACATATCGCACGGCTTGGCTGAATCTATTGGTTCCAAAGAAGCACATGTCTTTCTCCAGCATAACATTATGGCGGTAAGCAACTTGCCCAATGAAGTTGTGCTTTCTATTCAAGCGGTTCCTACAATGCCTAGTAATAGGATCTGCCGAACATAATCGTTTTATTCAGGGTGCTGAGGGCTGGCTTCTAAAGCGCCCAACGAGTCGTTTGCATTCATCCTGGCAGATTTAGGCTTTGACGTGTGGATTGGAAACTCTCGCGGCGTTGAGTGGATCCATAGACACGAATCCCTCAATTCCAACGATCCGATTTGTTGAGAATCTAACTTCCCAATGTCAAGTCCGATCCTAAAATATGGTCGAGACAAGCCAGCATGATTTACATTCTCTCATTTTCAAGACTCAAATTCTCTTTTCTTCTGTATTTTTTCAAAACTTTATTTTTGGAGTATGATAAGTACCCTTTCATCTCCGAGTTTTTGCATGTATCCATGTACCTCATCAGGGAGCAGCTATCAAAGTCAGCAAACCGGAATTTAGAGAAGAACGAGAGACATGTTTGTCCTAAGTTAAGGTGAATTATCTAAAACTCAAATGACACATGAAAAATTTCTGATATGAAATAGGCAGACGTATTCTGCAGAGCTACTCTGATGGAACTTCTGCCAGGTTTTGAGTACATCATCTGATAACTGGCAACTTCTGTTGGATGAGACAAAACCTGTATTTGAAACTCGCCATCCTTTTGGCTATTACAGACCTCTGTTGAATCAGTCCTCACTACTCTCCGTACTTACTGTCCAAGGTCAAACTTAATTCACTCAAGCATGCAGTAAGTTCACACAACACACCTATGACCAGATATCTTACAACAGATGCTTCTGCTGATTTTATTTATGTCGTCAGATATACACAGGATTCTGTGATGTAGGGTTTAGTGTGATCCTACATTGAGTTCGAGAATAAATTTCCAAATCCTGACAAAAGTACTGTATACGTTTCCCTATTTTCGTCATGAGAGTTCTATAGGAATATAAACAGCATAATTTGGAGGTGTTCTCTCTCATTTGCAGTTGCAAGGGTTGCATGAGGACTTGTCACCGCACTTGCATCCTTTGTTGGCACCCTCAAAGCTGTATCAGAAAAAGCAAAATTATAATCAGATACTGATCGACCGTCCCAGAATCCAAGAACGGTGATTTTATGAATACGTTAAGGATCCAGTTCAGACTTACATCAGCAGATTTCGAGTTCCAGAATGAAGCAACTACACTACCATGGTTACTGAAGCAAAAGCATAGCGATCTGAAACACCGATTCAAAATACATATATTTATCCGCTTCCTCTTCGAAAGTAGGACAACTTGAATGTGAATTCACCAATATCTTCAAGAAACCTCTCACGAAGACAAGTACTGATGCACGAAATGGGAACAACAAATGATAAATGATTTGATATCACTAGCGTCATCTCTGAAAACCTTGAAAGTAAGGATGTTATATTTTCAACAGCATTTGCTTTACATAATAAAGCAAGGTGTCTTTGAGCTGAGAAGTCCAAAGACTAATAAAAGTTGCACAACTTACTATGGTGGCTGATAAGC